CTGCCCATGAGATGTGAATTGCCACTGTACTTATCTTGGGCCTGTTTAAGCTTTGCATAAACATTTAACAGACTTTCTACCTCACACTTCATGACTTTCTGGCCTCACTATTTATTTCCTTTTATGCATCAGTTTTATTCAGGATGGCATTCAGTTAGTTTCAGTTCTGCCTATTGGCAGTTTTAAACTGTGGTTTTAACTTGTGGTGTTGGTGTATTTTATTGTGGCTTTCATTGTAAGTCGCCTTGAGTTCCTGCAGAGTCGAAAGGTGGCCAATAAATGTTTTAAATAAATGCACAGGTCTCATGAAGAGCCCTCTTTCCCACGGAAGTAAGTGCTGCTCTAGATCTGTTTAATTTTCAAAGTGCCACAAGATCCTTGTATTTTTTGTGCAAAAGGGATCATCATGGAATGTATGCCTAGGAAGGTTCTGCCTCTGTAAATGGAAAACTGGGCTCTGGGTTAATGTCCCTTCCACATATGTACCTTGAAAAGGGTTGCCAGCTCCGTGTTGGGAAATTCCTGGAGATTTTGGAGGCGGAGCCTGAAGAGAGCAGTGTTTGGGGAGGGAAAAGACTTCAGTGGGCCCTAAGCCCTGCCTGCAGGGAAAGGCTGCCTAGCAAATCTAATGAAATAAATAAATAAATAATGCCACAGAGCCACCTCCCAAAGCAGCCACTTTCTCCAGAGGAACTTATTTCAGTCACATGGAGATCAGTTGTAATAGCAGGAGAAGTACTTCTTCACCCAAAGAGTGATTAACACATGGAATTCACTGCCATAGGAGGTGGTGGAGGCTACAAGCATGGACAGCTTCAAGAGGGAATTAGATAAGCATATGGAGCAGAGGTCCATTGATGGCTATTAGCCACAAGGTATAGATAGGGGCTCCGGGGCAAGTGATGCTCTGTATTCTTGGTGCTTGGGGGCGGGGGTCAACAGTGGGAGGGCTTCTAGTGTCCGGGCCCCACTGCTGGACCTCCTGATGGCACCTGGTATTTTTGGTCACTGTGTGACAGAGTGTTGGACTGGATGGGCCATTGGGCTGATCCAAAATTGGCTTCTCTTATGTTCTTATGAGGCTGGCACTGTTTTTACAGACCATCTGGACTAAACTGGACTAAATTTCTCTATCTGGACAGCCTTTGAATTGACTGATTGATTGGTGGCACCATGTTCTTTGTGACCTATGGCTAATGTTATGGTATTTTAATATTTTAAATCTTTAAATATCATTGGGGGGAAATTCTGTATTGGGCCCAAAAAGCATGATAGAAATAAATAGATACAAGCAAGACTTTTACAAAAGAAACATAAATAAAGTCTTGCAAATGGTACACTTCAATTTTGACTAGAAATCTTTGTTGTCTTAATGCAGACATAATCACATGGTTTCCTGGGAAACAGTTTTGGATCTTGGGGAAGAGGATATCATGTTGATTGAAGGGCAGAGCTTTAAGTGACCCCACTATTGAGAAAGCAGGTTGAGATTCTGAGAACACAAAGAAGGTAAAGCTCTTTATGTAAGCACCCAGTGGACACACCCCAGGGGTACCATCTGGCTCTGTCCCACAGGTGCATGTTCCCTCTGTGTTTAAGGGACCTACACCTCCTCTTCAAATAGTATGGCTCTCTCCATATTGATGCCAAACTTAATGTGGACACTCAATCGGCATAACCCACTGCAGCCCAGAACTCCTGAGCTCACATGATCCTATTTCAAAGTGGAAGTACTCAAAACAGGTTTGCTTTGCAAGAAGCGCAAAGGAACCCTTCACAGAGACCCACCTAAAATGAGCAGCAGGAGTTAACACTGTAAATCGTTCCCTGATGGTTTAAGTGGTAGTCTGCCAAATGGCTCAGTTCTGGTCAATGTTGACATTAGAGTGTATAAAGCATCCTCAGCCTCCCTTACCTGGTTTGGTTTCCTCATACAGAAATATTGTACATAGCAGGCTTGCTAAAACTGAAACGGACTCTTCTGTAATGAAGCTGGACAACAAAGACCCAGCTCCATCCCCCTTGAGAATCAATTAATGCTCTGCAGTCAGAACAGAACCTCTCCTTTACTGTGAACATAACATATCCCACTAACTCATAAGGGGAGGTAAGGTATTCCTGGCACATCAGGAGCTTGTGGATTCATTAGAGCCTTCACATGTGCCACTGAGTGACAGCAAACTAATTTACAAAAAAAAAGACTCCTGTGAGAAGACTTCTTATCTTTTCAAATTCCTAAGTGTACATGCACAAAGGATCACAGCAGAGGAAACGGGGTCTCCCTCTTAACTGTGGTGAAAACGAAAACACATCAGGAAGCAGACTGAAGACATCTTGATGGTACAGGTGAAATTAGCCATGTCAGGAGTCCCATGGCATGGCCTGCGTCACTTGGGTCATGCAGATGAACCCTGATCATCATGCATTTCCTCCTTCCTACTAAGGAATAAATTATTTCCACCTGCTTTCTACAATTGCCACAGTGGATGAGGTCAAAGGTCCATTTGTTTGAGGTCCCTCCCTTCCTCCAAGAACCTCTGAGCAGCATACATTTTATCATCACAACAACCCTGTTAGGTAAATAGGCTATCAGGTAAGTTGGGGGGGGGGGAGAGACTAGTCACCCAGGGAGCCTCATGGCCAAGTGAGGCTTTGAATATCGTACTGGTTCTCTGGTCCATCTTGCCCAGCATCTTGTTTCCAATAGCAGTAGTCAAATGCCTCTCAATAAGTCCAAAACAGGGCCTCTACCTTTGTTTGCTGCGAACAACAAGGATCCATAATTATGCTCTCTCTCTGAACTTGGAAAGTATACTTGGCTACAGGGTTTCCTCTAATGTGTGCCAGCCTGGGCTGGCTCACTGATTCCCTCATTAGCTCAGCACGGGGATCCTCGTGAGTTGGCTCCACCCCACCCCTCAGCCCGGGGCCTGCAGGCCCTGTAAAAGGGGGCGCCGGCAGTCCTCACCCCTGCTGCCCAAGAGTTTGCCTCCCATAAGCTGCAGCCACCCACTGCCTGGCCTGCGCCGTCTCCCTCCTGCTGCTGCCCTGAACCACTGCAGGAGGACAGAACTGTGGTTAGTCACCCTCTCCACTTTCTCACCCTGAGCAGCCAGTGTTGTCAAGTGTGGGTGTGCTTCGGGGCCCAGCAGCAGCAGAGCCAGGGATTGAGGTGGGGGGGGGGGAGGCTGCATGTGCTCTCCTTTCTCCCCCTCAGCAATGTGTTTGAGTCAGTAGCACCTTTAAGACCACCAAAATTTTATTTCACCCATTCAATATCACCTATTAATCCCACAATTTTTGAAACTCCAGACACCCTTTTAGATATTTTTGTTCTACGCGTCTTTGAGAATTCTGTTGAAACTAATTTGTGTGTCCAGAGGAGAAGCCTAGAAAAATGAAGTGTTCCAAATTCAGCTCAGTTTGTAAACAAAAGCTACCATCATTTTTGGCTCACAGGCTAACATTTTTGCTCACAAAAATGCACACCTTAGAGGGAACACTGCTTGGCTATCACAGCTAATAGCCATTGATACATCCATCTTCCTTTTTCAAATTCCATAAAGCTAATCATGCATTGAATATGTCGTTTTAGCTGACCTGGATCTAACACCAAACCAATTACACTGGGTGAACCAAAGTGCTCCATAACTTTGCAGTCCGTCTAAAAGGTGGGAAAGGAGAAATTTATGCCACAGAGAGGAGAGAGGAGGGAGTCCGCAGTCCCAGGCTAGCTCAATTTCATGATATATGTATCTGTGTGCATGCAAATCTATACAGAGAGAGAGAGAGAGAGAGAGAGAGAGAGAGAGAGAGAGAGAGAGAGAGAGAGAGATGGAGTCCCATGCCACTTGGAGAGATCCCCCTTTCCAGTTCTAACAAATTGGGGGGGGGGACCTATCAGCACAGCTTGCATTCTTTATTAGTGGAAGGGAGCGAGAGTCCAGTAGCATCTTAAAGACTAACAAAATTTGTGGCAGGGTATGAGCTTTTGTGAATCACTGCTCACTTCTTCAGATACAGTGAGAATGTGAGTCCATCTGTCCTTATATCTTGGAGAGTGAAGTGATTTCAGACGCCAAAAGACAATAGCAGGCATTGGTAATGAGAAAAGAAACCTAAGTCTCAATTCAGTCCAGTAGGATGCATTGTCTTGAGCTTCATTATCAGTTGCAATTCAGCAGTCTCTCTAATTTCCTTTTAAAATTCCTTTGTAAAAGAACTGCTGCTCTTATGTCAGCAACTGAATGTCCTGGAAAGTTGAAATATTCCCCCACTGTTTTTTGAATGTTGTGGTTTCTTGGAGAGTTTCTTCCTGGACTGAATCCTCTTGTACCAAATTGAAATCTAGGTTTCCTGTCCCATTACCAGTGCCGATATCTCCATGCCTACTACCCCTCTGCATATCACACTTAATCCAATCATGCCTGCTACTGCTATTTGGCATCTGAAATCATCTTTATAAAGTTTATATATCCAGTACCTCGTGTTACATTTTATGGCACACATGGCCTGGCCCAACAAAGGGACATTTATGTCAGATCCAGCCCTCGTAACAAATGAGTTCAACACTTCCGCTCTATATTTACTTTCTGCCTTGCTACAAATGACTCAGCAGAACTTTTGAACTTTTTCCCCTTTAGCCTTTGTGTTCCATTAAGCGAAGTGCTGGAGCCTTTACTAATTCTAGGTGCTAGAGGCAGCAAACACCCCTCTTTACATTTGATTTTACCTTTTCAAGTGGCAGCAAAGTTTAAAAATTCCTTTGTTTCCTCTGAATTCCAGATAACACCAAAAAACACTACCAAAACAAACTGGTATTTTCTTAGTGGCTGGCCCTATAATCAGAAGCATTTTCTTTTTAAGATAAGAACTTAGTATACCCAAAGGAGTATAAAAAGGAGTGCAAAAACAAAACAAAAATAGGGAAAAAGGGGGGGAAATGGTGGCGAGGAGGCTGAAGGAAAGCATAATAGTAATAAAATGGAAGAGATACTCACGCATATCTCCAAGAGCACCTTTGGTCACATTCTTGGCTTGCTTTACAGTCACGGTGAATTTGTGTGAATACTGGTGTTCCACCTGCAAGCCAGTAGACCAGATGGTTAAGGAGAAAATTAAAATGCCACCAGGGAAATAAATGACCGAATCCCCCCCTCCAGACAGTTTTCAGTTTGCCTGAGATCTCCCAAGACTGCTTTTTTTTACCCCCCTCAAACACAGGTGAAGCGCTTACTGGCACATAAAGCATCTTGACGTGGAAATGTCCCCCTTTATCTGCCTTCAGCTTGGCTGAAATTTCACACCCACGGACTGCATTGAGCTTCAGTGATTGCAGACACTCCTATACAACTGTTTGTTCCTCACACAGACACACACCTTTATATTTTTAATTTTAGTTTCAATGAATGAGTGCTCCTCCCCTTCCACTTCATTAGTCAGCAAGAGCACAGCAAGACGGGGGAAGTGACAAGTTATTTTACAGGAGGATTCTTTTTCCTACTCTGTGTTTACAATTCCCATGGAAAGGGTATAATTATATCTAAACATATGCTACAGGAGATAGCTAATACTAATATATAAACATCTCTCTCTCTTTCTCCTGTTAAGTTCCCCCCCCCCAAATCCTTCACCGGTTGCCAGAAGGGACCTGGCAACTCTAATGATGCAAAGATTTCTGGGTCTGTTCTAGGCTGCTCACTTACTACAGCAAGTTTGTCGCTGTGGACAGAATGTTGGACTAAGACCTGGAAGACCAAAGTTCCTCATGAAGCTCAGTGGGGGTTCTTGGGTCAGTGTCTCTCAGCTTACCCTTCTACACAGGGTTGTTGTTATGGAAATAAAATGGAGGAAAGGAGAATTATAAGCTACTTTGGCTCTCTTCTGTGGGGGTAAAGCGGGGTATAAATGCACCAGCCACACACCAACCAGACCTAATCAGTCTCACTGCTGCTCTGTTTGAACTAATAGTGGTTTATAACATTCCCACCAGCCTCCTGCACCTACCCAAGGGGAAAGTGCCCTAATGATAAGAAAGCTAAGTTTCAGGAAATGTTGTGCACTGTTGGGAGAAAGCAGGGTGGGGGAATCCAGATTGGGTTATAAGGAAGTTATCAGTTTTCAGTTCCTTCTGCAATATTATGAATGTGCTAATCCTTTACAGTCTCTACAACTCCATTATGCCCATTTTATATGCTATGACTGGAGGTTGCCGCCCATGAGTTGCTGGTTTATGTGGGAAATGTTTTCTTCCCTTTCCCTGCAGTGCTTTTGGTATTAATGACAAAAATGCTGTGCCACACACTATACTGTACCTGAACATATCAAGCGTATGAGAGCATTATTTTTAATGTTCTTGGCGGTGACAATGAAATTGAAGTAGCTACTTGGGAGCAACACAGTAAGGGAAGATTATGTTTAAGCATTTGTAAGGGAAGATTATGTTTAAGCATTTTCTTCCATTAAAGTACATTTCCTGCTCCAAGAGCTCAAAATGGCCAGGGCCAACTGGATGGGGGGAGGCAGCAGGAGGGACATTTGGCCTCAGCCTTAAGCTCTAGCACTCAGATTCAAACACACCATTATTTATTTATTTATTTATTTATTTATTTATTGCATTTGATACATTCCACAATTTGTTTTCATGGGCATCTACTGGAACAAAATATGACTCTCAGCTCAAAGCTTGGTGTAGTAGTTAAGTGTGCGGACTCTAATCTGGGAGAACTGGGTTTGATTCCCCACTCCTCCACTTGCACCTCCTGATGTGACCTTGGGTCAGTCACAAGCTCTGGCACAGCTGTCCTTGAAAAAGAGCAGTTGTGTCAGAGTTCTCTCAGCCCCACCCACCTCACAGAGTGTCTGTTGTGGGGAGGGGGAGGGAAAGGAGTTTGTAAGCCGCTCTGAGACTCCAAGTGAAGGGCGGGGTATACATCCAATCTCCTCTTCTTAAGCCAATAAGAGATGTGATTCAGTAAAATATATAACTTTTTTGTTAAGCAAAACAGACTTTAAAATGTTCATAGGTATTAATAAAATGTATTAATCAGCGTTAATTTTTAAAAATTAAAAATGAAAGCAATCTGTAAGCAGTTTTGGGAGGGGGGACAGTTCCCCAAGAGAGCCCCAGGCCAAATGACATCTGCTGACAATGCAGAGGAAAAAGTAACAGAAAAACAGAATTGGACTAACAAAAGAAAACTGCATTAGGGAAACTAAAAGTTGCTGATGCAGAAGGGCCACTATCAGCAACTATAAGAACAGCCCCGTGGAAGGGCAGGTCAAGCACCTGCTCCTATGTGAATGGAAACCCTGATGGCTGGGAAACATCAGTGCTGTTGGATTCTGGTTCTCAAATAACTCTCAGATGGAGGCAGATGGAGTTAAATTGGAGACTAACTGAAGACAAGCCGCTGTGAGCAGAAGGCGCAACTGGCCTCCCAGTGATGTTGGTAGTTCAGGGCTGTGCAGGAGCAAAGTCAGTAAGAGAACTGGATATTGATTTGATAAAAACATCAGTACAAGGTACTGTTATGAAAAATAATGAATTACTTGGGAGCTATAATAAAGGCCAATATCAGATTGTGCTAAAACCAGGAAGCACAGCAGCGAAGTAAACTTCATGTTGAATACCTTTAGCATATCAGGGCACTGTGGGAGAACAGCTAACTCACATGCTGAGAGAAGGCTTAATAGAACATTCTACTTTTTCAAAGTATGTGGGGTGGCACAACCATTTAAAAAAACAAAAGAACGGAGATTGTTTCAGATGCACTCGTGAAGCATTTTCCATTGCCGTTTGGCCCACCAAACTGTATTTGCGGTGATCAAGGGACAGAGTTTGTCAGAAGGCTGAAGCGCCTCCTGCGTCCACACTGCCCTTCACAGCCAATTTGTCCCCCTCCTCTACTTTGAAGGTAAGTCCAGGACAGATGTGAAATGCAAGTCTTGTATAGTGAGACCCTTGTGTAATGAAATCCTTAGAGGGTATGAAAGAAGAATAGTTCTTCGCCCTTCCACATTTTCTCCTCACGACCTTCTCAGGTATTTAGAAGAAGAATGTGCTGTTGAGTTGTCACCGACTCATGGCGAACCCATCCATGGAGCATTCCAGGCATTGCATTCCTCAACATCGCAACCCTGTCTTCCTCCGTGGTCTCCCACCCATGTACTGACTGTGGCCAACCCTGCTTAGCTTCCAAGTTCTGACAAGCTCAGGATAAGCTGCACTATTTGGGCTGCTCAGGTAGGTTAGGTGAGTGAAAACAACCTGCCCAAGATTACTGTAACAACACACAGCAAATATATAGCAATTCAGAGCACATGCAAACCACTTAAAATTCATCATTTTAGTAATTCTTACAACTTGTATCCTAGGCAGGTGGCTCAGTGCTACTATTTATTTATTTATTTTATTTATTATTTATTAGATTTTTACCCCGCCCTCCCGCCAAAGCAGCTCAGGGAGGCTTACAACGAATAAAAAACAGTAAAATTAATACATCACATCTAATAAACCATCAATAAAACAGCCAATATAACTTATTAAGACTACAATTAGAACATTACTATCTCCACTCAGATGAAGGGACATTAGATGAAAGCGCAGCGACAGGGGAAATTTGAACTGGGGACTTTGTAATTACACTTCTGTCTCCCACCATATAGTTCTCAGGCAGAGTTACACCCTTGTAAAACCCACTGACTTCAATGGTCTAAGAAGGGTGTAACTCTGTTTAGGATGGCACTGTAAACAGAGTTCCAGCTCAGCAATGGTACATGTTTGGTACACCAAAGATCCCAAGCTCAATCCTTACCCTCACCAAGGAAAAGAATTTTCAGCAGCTGAGCTGAGAAGGACCTCTGCTGGAGACCTGGAGGAGCTGCTGTCAGTCTGCACGGTTAGACCTAAGGCAGCTTTTTCCCATACCCAAGACCAAACAAAAGAGTTATGGCCACAACTGTAAGATTCAGAGCATTAAAACATGTAACTGCACTATCTCTTTTTGAAATTCAGATTGCAAGCTTCTTGAGGACTGATCAGTTTGGGTTTGTTGTTTTTTTTACAAAACTCAGGTAAAGCACCATAATACTGACATACCAGAAATCCTGGACTCATGTCTTTGTGGTGTTCTTAGGGCCAAACTAGATGTGACAATGTCCTGGTGGCTGCCAGGATGACTCCACTGCCATTTTAAAATAATTTAAAAGTGCCACAGGGGCTCAATCCTGATCAAGCTTGTGGTTTTCTTGTCTCCCCCCCCCCCCCATACATGCCTTTTCAAATGCCAAAAGGGCCACGGAGGGCATTTCAGCACCTGAGAAGGCATGAGAGGAAGGAACAAGAGCATCTCAGGAGTCGGACCAGGCGAAGCATTGTAAAATCTCTTCAAAATGGCAGTTCATGGCTGCCATGAGGACACTATCATGCCTAGTCTGCCCCTCACACATAGTGGTATAGGGTTGGAAGCACTATAATAGTAGGACAGGAAAGAGTAAGTAGAAGGGAGGAGTTCTGTCCTGGGCTTCTGCTGTGATCAGTGATACAGCAGTTGTTCAGCCTGTCTAAGTAAAGGTAAAGGTTCCCTTGCTCGAAAGCCAGTCGAATCCGACTCTGGGGTTGCGGTGCTCATCTCCGTTTCAAAGCCGAAGAGCCAGTGCTGTCCGAAGACGTTTCCGTGGTCATGTGGCCAGCATGACTAAACACCAAGGCACATGGAACGCTGTTACCTTCCCACCTAAGTGGTCCCTATTTATCTACTTGCAATTTCTTGCTTTCGAACTGCTAGGTTGGCAGGAGCTGGAACTAGAGACGGGAGCTCACTCCGTCATGCGGCCCCCGGGTCTCGAACTGCTGAACTACTGACCTTCCACAGCCTGCAGTTCAGCATCTTAACCACTTGAGCCACCGCAGCTCCTTTCAGCCTGTCTAAGATCTACCATAAACCTAGTTTGGAAGTTAAAATGTACTCAGTTGCTTGATAAAACAGTCTCCCTCTCTGCTGTGTAAATGTTTTCACATGTTAGGTTCTAGTTGGTGTTAAAATTGTCTGATTTTATTGTAAAGTACTTTGAGCAACAGG